TGACAATTCTGGCATCTCTGCACTAAAGAAAGACGGCAACATCATTACAGACGCTACAGAGAAAGCAAATCATTTAAACGAACAATTTCAATCAGTATTTACCCCAGTAACAAATGACCCAATACCAAACAAGGGTATCAGCACACAGTCATCCTAAAATCAGGTTACATATAACATCAAATGGCATCGAAAAGCTCTTAAATAAGATCAACCCTCATAAAGCCACCGGCCCAGATAACATCAGTGGCCGCTTACTTACAGAAATGCAGACAAATCGCACCAATTCTGTGCCAAATTTTAAAAAAATCCATCACTCGAATCACACCTAACGACTGGAAACATGCTAGAGTCGCACCGGCATATAAAAAGGGTGACAAACATAAACCGGTCAATAATAGACCAATCTCATTAACTTGTATTTGCTGCAAGTTAATGGAGCACATAGTCACGTCACACATTATGAAACATCTTGAATCAAATAACATTTTGTACGACCTCCAACATGGCTTTCGGCACTCTCGATCTTGCGAAACATAACTACTTTCCCTCATCCAAGAACTTTAATCCACAAACAATTCAAATACACAAACAGATCTTATAATAATGGACTTTGCAAAAGCCTTTGATAAAGTTCCACATCGTCACTTACTGTACAATTTAAATCATTTTGACATCAATGGAAACACATTAAACTGGATCTCTGCATTTCTCTCCGACCGTACTCAGACAGTTGTTCTGGAGGGAAGATCGTCAAGCACATTCCCAGTCACCTCTGGGGTTCCACAAGGTACTGTCTTAGGTCCAGTCCTATTCTTGGCCTATATTAACGACCTCACTGTGACACAGACTACCTTACTCATAGCAAACTAAGATTATTTGCTGATGACAGTATCATATACATGCCAGTTAAATCCCAGGGTGACTGCCTCAAACTGCAAGCTGATCTTGATGCAGCTGCAAAATGGGAAGTGGACTGGCTGATGGCCTTCCACCAAGACAAGTGTACTGTTCTCTCTGTCACAACTAAACGTCAACCTTTACAACATAACAACACTCTTCATAATCATATTTTAGAAACTGTTACATCTGCTAAGTACCTAGGCATCACACTACAATCTAACCTCAAATGGGACAAATATATAGATGACAATATTTCGAAAGCCAATAAAACACTCGGCTTTCTTAGAAGAAACCTGAAAACATCAAATTAAAACATCAAGAGCCAGGCATACCAAGCACTTGTCCGTCCCAAACTCGAGTACTCTTGCTCGGTTTGGGACCCCCACAATTCAGAATCTACCTCGAAGATAGAGATTTTCCAAAGTAGAGCTGCTCGGTATGCCTGCAACAGGTATCATAACACTAGCAGTGTATCACACATGCTAAATACACTCAACTGGCCACAAGTAACACAGCGCAGATTACGTGCACGCCTGGTTATGATGTACAAGATAACACATCATCTTGTTGCTATACCATCTACTGAGCACAATTCTCATTCCATCAGACTCAGAAACCAGAAAACATCATTCACACACCTTCAGACATATTTATACATCCAAAGACTCGTACAGATTTTCATTTTTCCCATACACAATAACGCAATGGAATCTCCTACCAACTACAGTTGATAATTCACAGACAGTCGACTCTTTCAGAGAGCAGCTTACATATGCTGTTCTTTTCACCTGTATATTTTATGCATCAGATTAAATCTGATCAGAACATTTTCACTCTGCCGAATACTTTTATCAGGCGCACATTTCAACCTATTTAAGAAATAAACACTTATGGAAAAAAAAGTACCAACGAAAAAGCAATAAAATGCATAGCCGAGCGCACCCTGATACGACCACAGATGTAAATTTAGCTTATAAAAAACACCAAAAATATAATGTCTGTTGAAATCAAACATATTTTAATTTTGGACCCTTCAAACTTTAATAATGATATGGACTAATTTGAAAACAGGTATCAGGATAGCCCGAACATTTCTATTCAGCAGCAGTCTCCAACTACATATCTTTTCTTTTTTTCTAGCTTCTCTCATGTGAAAGCGGTACCTTTTTGGTCACTATTTATGTGTTGTGTCTAAATATGAATTGTAACACTCTATAGTGACTGAACAGGTTAAACAAATACTTCTCAAGAAACAGAAAAAGAAGACATCTTGGAACAGCACCAACCATGCCAGACTTTGTATGAAAAAAAACTCAGATTGGAATAGCATGGACGATATGTTAGTTATATGTCCTTCGGCTTGTGAATAGTAAGTAAAGCTATAAATAATTCTGCAGATAATGCAATTTTATCATGTTTTTCGTACATTTTCAAAAAGGCTCAACTAAATTTTAATTACTGAAAGTTTCCATCAATGACAAGTGTTTCATTCACGAAATAACTTGTGCGTTTCTGCGAAAAAAATCATGTGCAATTTTCTGAACTCAAAGGGAAAGTATATCCGTTTGCGGTGCACTCCCGCATGTCAATTGCGAACTGACCCAATAATTTTTGTTTATCATGTGACCAGTCCACTGATACTGACTATCAGGGAGTACACATCAAAGGAAAAATGCACAAATTACCGATAAAATAAATTACATACCCTATTTGGTGTGTATCTCGTGCCATATCAGTATTTGTTGCATTTAGTGTGCTACCATTTGATTTTTATGAGGGGAGGGGGGGCTAGAATAAAATTTTGTCCTGCCTTTTTTTTTTTGTTGTAATCTCTGTCCTACCTTTTTATTTTTCACTCTATTCGGTCCTGCCTTTTTTTTTGTAATTTATCCTGACTTTTTTTTCCATAAATTGTCACCCTGCCTTTTTTTTTGCCAAGTTGCTGATCCTGCTGGTTTTTTTACTCAAAACTCCTGTCCTGCCTTTTTTTCAAAAATTTAAAAACACGTTTTGGGCAATTACCCCCAAACTCAATCTCAGCCATACCTTTCTGATATGGAACCTTGAGGTACAATTTCAGAAAGATCCATACACTTACAAGTTATTGTCTAGAAACAGCAAAAATGCTTGGTTTTGGCCACTGACTCCTAAACTGTGTACCATATATAACCCCCAAAATCAATTCTAACCTTCCTTTTGAGTATTGAACCTTCTGATACAATTTCATAGAGATCCATTCACTTAAACTAAAGTTATTGTCCGGAAACCAAATGTGTCTTGGACAGCAATGACAACATGATCATGATGATAGCATTATATGAAAGCACATTTTTGACATATTCCCCATTTCTATTTTCAATTTTATTTTGCCATTGTATATAAACTTAAAAAGTAAATGGACCACCAAATGAAATGGGCTAAAAAAACAAAATGCAAGAAATGACATAAAACTGACTCTGAATTAGTACATGAAATTGATGTAAAAATCCACAAACAGAAGATGATCTCAAATACATTTATACTGCTGAGCAGTTTCTATCCTCAAATTTTAAATAGCATCCCAGAAAATAGCAAAATCTTTAGATTATCAACTTACAATCCTACTTATGGTTCCTTAGGCTTAGGTGAAAATGAAAAACCTGATCAAAACAATATACTAAACAGGCTCACTGTAAATTCATACTCATTTTTAACATTTATCAGTATGATCCTCTTGCTGATCACAAACATATGAGATGCAGGAAACTGGAAATACAATATGAACATCCAGCTAATTTAGAAAGTAAAAATAATTCAACTTTTAAATATTGATGAAAAAGATATTCCAAATCCTCCACCTCTTCATGGAAGTCAACAAAAAATTAATTTAATAAAGTAATGGATTGTTTATACATACAGTATTCATAGTTTTGAAATTAGACAAATGTCTTATTGTTTTAAATTTTGTAAATTTTGCAAAGAAAGAAAAATAGATATGAAAATGGCATACGATAATGAATGTAAGCATTGTCATTTATATAAATCACCAATAAATTAATTTTCAGCAGAAAACAATAAGGGAGCAATCATTTAGCTTCAAAGGGGGAAGGTATGGTTTTTTGTTTGAGTCAGATTTTTTACACGCAAAGCGCTTCAATGCTATCAATCAAAATTATTTAATCAAAATATAACGCTAGAAGATATGGGGAAAATCTGGATTCAGAATAATTTTTTTTGACCTCTGCTTGAACAGAATTTTTTTTTTTCATCAATTTGGGATCAAATCAGAATATTTTTTGTAAGAAAAATACTAGTCCAAAAACTTATGTTGTCTAGGAAGGCTCTTTTAAATTTTTGCTTTGACACCTTCAGCCTGCGACGCGTCAAAGAAAAAAAATATAATAGCCTTTCAAGATGTCATGATTATTTGGACTAGAAAATTACCCCTTCTGCCTTTTGAAGTTCAATGATCGTTCCCTAAACATTTTTCATCTGAACTTATTATTTCATTTTAGACAAAAACTATATGTATGATGTAGGACATTCGTCCTGCACATGCATGAAATATTTGCCACTGGACGTTAAGCAACCAACAATCAATCAATATATAGTACATAGTCTTGGTATAAAGCAGGCATTTAAGGTAGCGCCTTCCTCATATAATAACTTGTTTTAAATAAATAGACCACGTATGCACCAGTTATTAATCATCTTTATTCAGATGGAAGACTGGAAAACTTAAAGAAGAAGAGAAGAACTCAAACACGCCTGAACGTAAACAAGTGTACTCGACTTTCTCTTTTCGATGAAATTATTGTCGCCGGTGGCAGAGATGCAAACTAAATGCTTAAAAAGATCAATCTATTATCTTTCTTTGGATTTTTTTATGCACGTTCATTAAACTTTTAAAGCCCATAGAAACAGATGTAAACTATTCAAATTTACCAACTTGGCCTTTTTTTACCTTCTCTAACAAAGTGTTCCATTTCTTTTGTTTAATTTCAACTGGGTTTCCGTCTGGACACGCTTTCATGAAAGCTAATAATTGAATATGCTCCGGATTTGTATCACTCCGTAAATTGATGTAAATTTACTTTTCAATGACTTCCTGGTATAAAAATAAACAAATATTTTGCAAACATAGCAAAAAACTTTTAAAAAAATATGTTTTTGAAAGACTTTATAAGTTAAAGACACCTACGAATTTAACGTCATGGTTTGACAGAATAGTTTTGAATTGCTGCTGTAAGCTGTCATTCGTGTCAACAGAATATTTCACTGTAAGTTCAGTATGCTGTCGCCAGTGGCAGTGTCGGTTGTTTATCTGGCCCTTTTTTTGACACACCACTATGTTTCATTAGTATGCCTGTAAAGTTTTACCCTCCACTTCATTTATATATAGTATAAATGCCAAAATTGAGTTCTACCAAAAAATCAAAGGGGATATGTTTATGTATCTATATCATGTATATGCAGTGGCACCATGAAATCAAAATCAAATAATTGCCTAGATATGTATTTTTATGGGAGTGTGGGTTGTGGTGGTTGTGGGGCAGGGCTTTTTTTTAAACAAATTGTGTGTTTCCATTGAAAATATGGCATTCAGTTTTAAAAAAAATTGTTCCTGTATGTTATTGAAAAAATAGTTTGTACACTTGTTGAATAAAGTCTGGAAAAGACTATTCCAATAGAAAATAACATTCCCAACAAACCTTTATGTGAGTGTTTTGTTATAAAGATATTGTCAATTGTTACTATATATTTTATTTGGTTTTTTTTCAATCATTATTTTGTACATAAATCAGGCTAGCTGTTAGTTTTCTTGTTTGAATTGTTTTACATTTTTCATTTTGGGACCTTTTATTTCTGACTTATGCGGTATGGGTTTTGCTCATTGTTGAAGGCTGTACGGTGACCTATTGTTGTTAATTTCTATGTCATTTGGTCTCTTGTGGAGAGTTGTCTCATTGGCAATCATACCACAGCTTCTTATTTTTATATATATATCCCATATTCTTAACACTTTAAAATCTTTTTGTACCTGTTGGAAAAGTATAAATGGGTTATCAGGTTTCTGTAAACAAACTTTTTAAAAAAATCCAAAGTTTTTTTTATTTATAATAGTTTCCTAATCCTGATCCTAGTACTGTCAAAATTGACACAACTTGTCTCTCTGTACTATTTTTTCCTCTTATGCTACACCGTTACTCATGGTAATTTTTCACAGTACTTAAGAATACTTGTTTAGGCACAGAATCTTGATTCAGGGCTTGCCAGTTCTTGAAATCATCGTTATCTTGCTATATGTTCCCCTACAATTTGAGCTGTTCAGGTTTTTCTTACAATTTCTTACCAGAATTTTTGTGCATGTTTGGTAGTTCAATTATACTGATTTTGAAAATGAATATCTTGTTTTATACAAATTTAGCATTTAAAGAAATAGAGATATATAAAATAATTTTACTTCAATATATAGTTTTTGGTTTGTCCTCAGAAAGTTAAAAGTATTAATAAGTAATCTTATGTATTTAAAACACGTTTGGCAGTAGAATCGTACTGTCTAAATTTAGAACCCCTATTTGAAATTGAATGACATTTTAATGGAATGTTTGTGACCACTTAAAACAGGTTAAATTTGATTTTTTCGAATTTTCACTTTTACTGTTCCATCTAGTTATGGTACTTGAGTATTTGAAAAAAATTTTGTTGGTTTCCAATGATTAATTGAGAGCCCCCTTTTGAAATTAATTGAATTTTTATTGAAATCTTTTTGACTTCTAAACACAGGTTTAATATGATTATTGTCGTTTTTACTTTTATTGTTTCAAAGTTATGGTACTTGGACTTTGGAAAAATTCAAAATTTTGTGGTTTTTTCGGATAATAAATGGAACCCCTTTATAAAAATGATGACATTTTAATGAAATGTTTTGGACCAATAAACACTGACTAGGTTTGATTTTTGTCATTTTCTGTTTCACCCTTCCCAATTTATGTTTCTTGAATTTTGGAAAAAAAATAATTTTGTTGTTTCTGGGGGAAAAAAAAAGAGAATGACTTTTTCATTAAACTTTTTAAAATTTTATCAGTTATACCCCTTTATTGTATGAATTTACGTTTTCAAAACTTCTGTTTTTTTTTGTTTGTTTGTCTGAACATCAGCAGTCAGGTGAGTACCTGACTCAAATTGAAATAAAGAAAAGACTTTTTGAAATTGACTGAAAGTTTAATGAAATGTTTTGGACCACTCAACAAAAGCATTCCCAAAAACTTTTAAAAAAAGATAACCTAAGTTATATCCCCTTTATTAAATAAATTAAGTTTTTCATCCCTTTCAAAATTGAAATAAATACTTGCCGTTTTTTGTTTTGTTTATCTAAACATTAGCATTCAGGTGAGCACTTGCTCAAAATGAAATCTAGAAAAGACAACATTCAGGTACGGGCTGTTTCTATGGTCATCATTGCACTCAAATGTTTTCATCATACTGAATTGAACTAATTCATGAAAATGGCATCAAAAAATATTGGAGGGTACTGGTAAACAGAAAAATTGTATACATAATACACTGAACTTTGAACTGGCAAAAATAAAACTACATCTTATAAGTAAACTCATCATAGATACCAGGATTAAAATTTCACAGTATGATGCTATAGAAAGTAATAATGATCTCTCAGTAGCTGCTGTGGGGAGTACCTGTGATCACTAGATCACTATATTAGTTTGAACAAATTTCATCCAGAGTGACGAGTAATGGAGAGAGGGGCAACATTTAAAAAATATTATAATAACATCTATGCATGGTAAACTCTAGATACAAGACCATAGTGGCCATGAACTACATGTATTTCCAATTTAATAGGAAGAAAAATGTGAGGTTAAACATTTGATTTCCTAATGATTTTTTGAAAACAGTTTTTTTCGTACATTTTGCAGGTGTGTGAATAACATCAAGCCATGGGAGAGTTAGGTTTGTTCCACAACAATACAGTAGTGTTAGAACTGCCATCATCAATGTCATTCAAGGAGAAAATGTCTTGGAAGAAAAAAATTACTGCAAATGGAGGAACTCTGTCATATATTGTAACTAAAAAGGTTAGAATAAACATGAATAATTGTGATTTCTTAACGTTTCCTGTTTTTATAATCAGTTCATTAAATGTCCTTTGATATTTCAAAAAGTTGTTTTTTGATATCATGGTATAGTGATTAGTCTGTAGAAATACAACTTGAACTCTGGAAGGTTTCAAACTTGACTTGGAGAATGATAGTGTAAAGAATAAATGTCTTTTTCTTCATATTGTGCTGTAATTTTAATAGTTTTTAGTCCCCTACAGACGAAGTCAAAGAGGACTTTAGGTTTGCACTCCGTCTGTCTGTCTGTCTGTCCTTCTGTGAGTCCGGAGGGGCCTTGGTGGCCAAGTGGTCTAAGTAGTTACTACTGTAATCACTAGCCAGTCAACACTGAGGTTGTGAGTTCGAACCCCGCTCGTGCAGGTGCACTCAACTCCAATCTTAATTGACTAGGATTGTCAGTTATCCTATCGAAGGTTGGTGGTTTTCTCCAGGCACTCCGGCTTCCTCCACCAATAAAAACTGGCCGCCACGAAATAGCCCAAAAGCAGTGCTTAAAAGTGGCGTTAAAACACCAAAAATCAATCAATCTGTCAGTCCGGCAAATCAGCTTTCCACACTTTTTTTCTTTATGCTTGAAGATATTGATTTGATATTTGGTATATTGTTTTATCTTGGCAAGTTACAGATCAAGTTCGAATTTTGTTCCGGTCTGATAATTAAGTCCAGAGTTATGGACCATAACTCTGGACCATATCTAATGTTAAAGTACTATGTTAAACTATATTTCTGTACAAAGGGAGATAACTCATTTATTAAAAGACATTCATTGTTAAATTATTTGAAGAATTTTTTAGCAGGTTTGTTTGTTATTTAGTATAAACTAATTTTCTGAATACTATATATATATACAGAAAAATTTATGAAGAGAAATCCTTTAATTAGATAATAATATATTTTTATTAGTGTATATATTTCAATACATTACATTGTGTAGATAAATGTTGTTGACATTTTATAGATAAGTTACAAATCTATATTAGTTTGTGACAAATGAAAGAAAAAATATTTGGAACTATTAATTATATTTGATTATAATTTGAAATTAGATATACACTGTATTACATCATATCTAATTTTAGAGAACTATTAACCATATCTAATGTTTTGTTCACTCATATAATCAGTTTTCCACACTGTTTTTAGTCATGCTTGAAGATATTGACATGATATTTACTTTTTGTTTACACCATGACAAGTTATAGAACAAGTTAGCATTTGTTCTAGAAAAAAGAATTTTTACCCGGTAGGGGACTATGTATTGCCATGCAATACTCTCAGAATGCTTGTTTTTATTAAAGTTTTAGTTAAAGTGTATTACACCAAACTTGTTTTTCAAGCTTCATGCATATGTTGTGCAGAGGTTACATATTTTGTAAGGATTATATCTAAGAGAAAAACAAGATTGTAAACAGAAGGAAAATCAAATAATAGAATTTTGAAATAAGATCTGAGAAGATGTCCTTTATTAAATACCTTCAGGAAATTAAAAGACAAATTGAGGCAACCATACCTGATTTCTTGCTACAGTCAGAACAAAATAGAACATGATAGAATTTGGAAATCAGATATTCAGACTGTTTTCTCAAGTAATTAGTTGTGATAAAAAGTAACAAATTAAATTTGTTTTATTATAAGTCCTTTTTTTGTATATCTGAATATGTTTCTAAGACGATAAGATGCAAGGTTGGACGATACTAGAATTATTGCATTGTAATTTGCAAAGATCGTGTAACACCCATCTATCTCACGATAATCCTTTGTTTCCATTTTAGGTATCATTTGTTGTTGTGTTTGAAGACGTAGTTGAGAAGTCAAGTTACAAGATCCGACAATGTCAGAAATATCACATTCCATTGGTTCAGAACCTGTACATTGATGACTGCATGTCACAGAATAAACTTCTTACCAAAGATAAATTTATAGTCAGCGGATTACCAGAAAATGATAATTTCAAGAAAGGAAAGATAGTTGGTATGTTGTAGGGCTGCATGGAAAATATGTGTTGTCCCCCGCGTAAGGCGTTGTGGGGGACATGGATATACTGGGTGTCCGTGTGTCAGTCTGGTCTTGTTAGCGCTCTCATGGGTACAATTCTTGCCAGATTTTTATAAAACTTTTACTATAGGTTAATATCAGCAATATATTGGACAAGTTCTAAAATGGTGGACGATTGACTTTTTTTAGAGAATTATGCCCCTTGGAATTATTAAATTTATGGAAAATGGCCTCGTTAGTGCTCTCACAGGTACAATTCTTGCCAGATTTTTATAAAACTTATACTATAGTTTAATATCAGCAATATCTCAGGCAAGTTCTATAATGGTGGACGATCGACTTTTGATGCCCCTGCCGTAACAGAGGGGGCATTAAGTTTTACCCTTGTCCGTCTGTATGTCCGTTATGTCCGTCCCTACGTCCCAAAATTGGTTTCCTTTCTCTAACTTTAGTTTGCCTCAACCAAATGTTATGAAACTTATACACAATGCTTAAAACCACTAAACACAGATCAAGTTTGAATTTTGGTGGCTTCAGTTTTACCGTTCTAGAGTTATATCCCTTTACAAATGGAAAAATTGCTGAATTTTTCGTTTCCATTCTCCAACTTAAGTTTGCCTCAACCAAATGTTATGAAACTTATACACAATGCTTATTACCACTAAACACAGATCAAGTTTGAATTTTGGTGGCGTCGATTTTACCGTTCTAGAGTTATATCCCTTTACAGATGGAAAAATTAACATTTGGTTGAGGCAAACTAAAGTTAAAGAACGGAAACGAAAAATTCATCAATTTTTATACGACCGCAAAAATTAAAAATTTTTTGGTCGTATATTGGTATGACGTTGGCGTCGTCGTCGTCCGGCGTCGTCGTCGTCGTCGTCTGGCGTCGTCCGGCGTTGTCCGAAGACACATTGGTTTTCGCACTCTAACTTAAGTTTAAGTGAATGGATCTCCATGAAATTTTACCATAAGGTTCAATACCACAAAAGGAAGGTTGGGATTGATTTTGGGGGTTATGGTACCAACAGTTAAGGAATTAGGGGCCAAAAAGGGGCCAAAAATAAGCATTTTTGTAACTTCCAGACAATAACTTGTGTGTAAGTGTATGGATCTCTCTGACATTGTACCACAAGGTTCCATATCACAAAGGAAAGGCTGTAATTGATTTTGGGGGTAATTGCCTCAAAATTTTAGGAATTAGGGGCCAAAAAAGGGGCAAAAAACAAGCATTTTTCTAGTTTCATGACAATAACTTGTGTGTAAGTGTTTGGATATTTCTGAAATTGTACTACAAGGTTCCATATCACAAAGGGAAAGCTGGAATTGAGTTTGGGGGTAATTGCCCGAATTGTTTAGGAATTGGGGGCCAAAAAGGGGCCAAAAATAAGCATTTTTCTAGTTTCCAGACAATAACTTGTGTTCAAGTGTATGGATCTCTCTGAAATTGTACTGCAAGGTACCATACCACAAAGGGAAGGCTGGGATTGAGTTTGGGGGTGATGAATCATAAGGGGGTTCAAAAAATTTGGGGGGGGATTTTTTTTTTTCTTTTTTTTTCTTTTTTTCCTTTTTTTTTTTCTTTTAAAATTTTCCATTTTAAGTTGGTTATTTCTGATTAATATTTAAAAGCAAATAATAATGATATGGTAGGAGATACACACCAAACAGGATGTGTAAATTATTATCTAATAAGTATTGTGCAATAGCAAGAAATTTTCAATTGCACAGTATTGCACAATAGCAAGAAATCTTCAATTGCACAGTATTGCGCAATAGCAAGAAATCTTCAATTGCACAGTATTGCGCAATAGCAAGAAATATCCAATAGCACAATATTGCGCAATAGCAAGAAATTGTCAATTGTACAGTATTGCACAATAGCAAGAAATATTCAATTGCACAGTATTGTGCAAAAGAAGATACTTCGTATAAATTGCTTATTTCTTGATCAATTTCAATTGGGTTTTATTCTTGAATTCTTGGGGTTCTTTAATATGCTGAATCTAACCGTGTATTAAGTTTTTGGATTTTGGGCCCCGTTTTTAAATTGGTCCACATTGAGGTCCAAAGGGTCCAAAATTTAACTTTGTTTGATTTCATCAAAAATTGAATTATTGGGGTTCTTTGATATGCTGAATCTAACCGTGTATTTAGATTCTTAATTTTTGGTTCCATTTTCAAATTGGTCTACATTAAGGTCCAAAGGGTCCAAAATTAAACTTAGTTTGATTTTAACAAAAATTGAATTTTTAGGGTTCTTTGATATGCTGAATCTAAACATGTATTTAGATTTTTGATTATGGGCCCAGTTTTCAAGTTGGTCCAAATCGGGGTCCAAAATTAAACTTTGTTTGATTTCAACAAAAATTGAATATATGGGGTTCTTTGATATGCTGAATCTAACCATGTATTTAGATTTTTGATTTTTGGGCCCTGTTATCAACTTTGTCCACATTGAGGTCAAAAGGGTCCAAAATTTAACTTTGTTTGATTTCATCAAAAATTGAATTATTGGGGTTCTTTGATATGCTGAATCTAACCGTGTATTTTGATTCTTAATTTTTGGTTCCGTTTTCAAATTGGTCTACATTAAGGTCCAAAGGGTCCAAAATTAAACTTAGTTTGATTTTAACAAAAATTGAATTTTTAGGGTTCTTTGATATGCTGAATCTAAACATGTATTTAGATTTTTGATTATGGGCCCAGTTTTCAAGTTGGTTCAAATCGGGGTCCAAAATTAAACTTTGTTTGATTTCAACAAAAATTGAATATATGGGGTTCTTTGATATGCTGAATCTAACCATGTATTTAGATTTTTGATTTTTGGGCCCTGTTATCAACTTTGTCCACATTGAGGTCAAAAGGGTCCAAAATTTAACTTTGTTTGATTTCATCAAAAATTGAATTATTGGGGTTCTTTGATATGCTGAATCTAACCGTGTATTTTGATTCTTAATTTTTGGTTCCGTTTTCAAATTGGTCTACATTAAGGTCCAAAGGGTCCAAAATTAAACTTAGTTTGATTTTAACAAAAATTGAATTTTTAGGGTTCTTTGATATGCTGAATCTAAACATTTATTTAGATTTTTGATTATGGGCCCAGTTTTCAAGTTGGTCCAAATCGGGGTCCAAAATTAAACTTTGTTTGATTTCAACAAAAATTGAATATATGGGGTTCTTTGATATGCTGAATCTAACCATGTATTTAGATTTTTGATTTTTGGGCCCTGTTATCAACTTTGTCCACATTGAGGTCAAAAGGGTCCAAAATTTAACTTTGTTTGATTTCATCAAAAATTGAATTATTGGGGTTCTTTGATATGCCGAATCTAACCGTGTATTTAGATTCTTTATTTTTGGTTCCGTTTTCAAATTGGTCTACATTAAGGTCCAAAGGGTCCAAAATTAAACTTAGTTTGATTTTAACAAAAATTGAATTTTTAGGGTTCTTTGATATGCTGAATCTAAACATGTATTTAGATTTTTGATTATGGGCCCAGTTTTCAAGTTGGTCCAAATCGGGGTCCAAAATTAAACTTTGTTTGATTTCATCAAAAATTGAATTCTTGGGGTTCTTTGATATGCTGAATCTAACCATGTATTTAGATTTTGGATATTGGACCATAATAGGTGAATGTCCAATTTAAAATTTTTAAGTTCTTAGACCACATTCATTCTGTGTCAGAAACCTATGCTGTGTCAAATATTTAATCACAATCCAAATTCAGAGCTGTATCAAGCTTGAATGTTATGTCCATACTTGCACCAACTGTTCAGGGTTCGACCTCTGCGGTCGTATCAAGCTGCGCCCTGCGGAGCATTTTATTCCATTTGTAAAGGGGCATAACTCTAGAACAGTAAAAGTGACACAACCAAAATTCAAACTTGATATGTGTTTAGTGGTAATAAGCATTGTGTATAAGTTTCATAACATTTTGACACATTCCCCATTTATTTTAAAAGAGTTATGCCCCTTGGAAATATAGAATATGTGCAACACGGGGGAAATTGGAACTCTGTTCTTTTATTGTAGGATGGTTTTGTTGGTTTGTCATGTTAAAAATAAATTGATCAAGATAATCCTTTTAGGCAATTCGGTTTTGTTAAAATGAATTTTAAATATGATATAACTTGAGAACTGTAAACTGTCTGTGGTTAAGGGGGTACCCAACACTTTGACTAAACAAGATTTAGCTTGTTTAATTTTCATAAAATTTTGAAAAAAAATATTTACTTGGACTTGTTGTCAAAAATATAAAAATTTCAAAAATTTTGAACCACACAATTTACAGGAATAATTTGGTTGGATGTATAGCAGTTTGACAAACACTAATTTTGATCATTGAGAAGCTTGATTTCTCCTTAATAATAGTATGTGATTAAAACATTCAACTGATTTTTAAAGAGTTAACTCCTTTAGATGTTCTGTACACCCTTAAATCTGTGTATTTTCGTCTCAATGTTGAAAGACAGGACAAACACTTAAACATGTATAAGTTATGAGGTAATAGTAATTTTTGTTAGAACATTGGTATGAGGACCTGAAGTCCTCAATAACAGTAGAAAAATCAATATACTAATGAACTCAAAATTGTTAACTTTTTTTCCCAACAGTTGCGTTTACCATGTTCCTGTTCTATTGACGGACGCTGCCATTTTATAGGTGTAATACCACCATTGATTTTCCCCTATTAGTCTTTGTTAAATTTGCACTTTTCAAAAAATTGTGCAGAATTTATCTTTGTTTTTCAAATAAAGAAATACTTGGCATGAGTAAAGTTTTATCCTGTCCAGAACTACAGACAAAATTTCACATAACATTTCATTGCATATTAGAAAATAACCATCACTGGAAGTTAACCAATCAAATTTTCACCCATTTTTTTTCTGTGTACAAGCTTTAGTAACCATGTAAGCTCAAGTTTTCAAAATATTCTATAGAAACACCAAATTAAACTAGTATCTCAATT